CTCCCATAAAACCATGTGTTAGTCACGTAGAGTTGTATACTGCAAGGGTTCATAAGAACATACTGATTTATTTACTCCCATAAAACCATGTGTTAGTCACGTAGAGTTGTATACTGCAAGGGTTCATAAGAACATACTGATTTATTTACTCCCATAAAACCATGTGTCAGTCACGTAGAGTTGTATACTGCAAGGGTTCATAAGAACATACTGATTTATTTACTCCCATCTTGTTTTACTTTGTTTCATGCTCTGCTTACTGGAATTGTTTACTATAAGCACCCATAAAACCATGATGGTAAATATCTTAATACTTTGTATATCTTGAATAAAATATTCATTATGGTTGTTAGTTACCTGTTATATGAAACTTTGAGCCATTATTTCCATCTAAATAATGTGGTTTTTTTATTTACCAGTTACTTGTAGTTCTGAGTCACTATTTCCCATCTAAACAATGTGTGGTTTTATTTACCCACTATTTGTAATTCTGAGTCACTATTTCCCATCTAAACAATGTGTGTGTTTTTTATTTACCCGCTACTTGTAGTTCTGAGTCACTATTCCCCATCTAAACAATGTGTGTGGTTTTTTTATTTACCCGCTACTTGTATCTGAGTCACTGTTTCCCATCTAAACAATGTAGTTGTTTTTTTTATTTACCCGCTACTTGTAGCTCTGAGTCACTGTTTCCCATCTAAACAATGTTGTTGTTTTTTTATTTACCCGCTACATGTAGTTCTGAGTCGCTGTTTCCCATCTAAACAATGTGTTTTTTTTGTTTACCCACTACTTGTAGTTCTGAGTCACTATTTCCCATCTAAACAATGTGTGGTTGTTCATTAGTGATTCTGTGTTAATGTTACTTATCTAAATGAAAGTTTGACAAGATTAACTACCACAACTTAAATATTCTTGGTACTCACTTGAAGGACTGATAAACATTTACTACTTATATTTTCTCACAGGGCGTTGATGGATTTCCTTTAATCATGCCAATGTTTTGGCAAATTTCAGATCATTTATAAGTAAAACAACCATTTTGTTTTTCACTTGTGAGAATAACAATTTATGAAGTTATAGCTGGTGTTTTCAAAAAAATTTACTATTTCTAACAGTTAAAAAAATCGTTTTCAATAGCAACATAAGGATTCTCTGAACTTAAACACTGAATTGTTTTCTGGCGGATACATCCTTGAAAAATACATTAAATAATTTGCTGCTTCAAATAAAGATTGTTTACTATATAAAATAATTTATATTTCATGAACATTTAAAGCTAGAACTAAAATACTCGTATGGTAAACGTCTGTCTTAACTGCAAAACTTATTTTAAAATTGGATGATACATTTAATGTGTTGCAAATGAAACAAATACAAAATTACATTTCTGCATACATTTATTGATTTTCAAAAAAAACCTTATTTCAGCTCCTTCACTTGTAAGCCTGAAACAAGAACAAAAAGAGGAATTTTTAGACAAATTGTATTTAACCAGTAAATAAACTGATCCTATCAAACTGTGTAATGTTAAAACTACACAAATTTTGTTTATATAGTATGTATCATATTACATCTCTCCTGGCTTTAATGTAGATTCTATAAATTATCATTTCTTAACAAGTCTGGATAACTATCAAGGTATCACCAAGTACATTTAGGCAAGTTAATTCTAAGAACTTAAGGTATTTCCAGCCAATTTGTTTCATTTTTTTCACCTTTTTTGAAAAATACATATTTGCTAAAATGTCTACTTTCAGTGTCTGCAACACGTTTTGTCAAAACACCCTTATGTATCCCTCAAAATCATAATCCTGAAGCGAAAATTAAAATATTCCCATAGCAACTGTCCTAGCAATGGAATTCATGACAATTTCCAACCTCTTTGGTGGTAATTTTCTAAATTTTTGTGACACAAACTTAAAGTGGCCGGTATTAAAAGACTACAATAATGTTAACTAATTTCACTCTGGTAGAGCTTCAAGTTAACAGTGTTCAACTCCATGTGATACTATGTTCAATCCTTTGTCTTTCACAAGTTAAATTCCTCACTGTAAGGTTTTACTTACTGCCAAAAGGTTGAAAAAGTTGGATGACTTTTCCTTTTATTCTATACTGAAGAAATTTCAGTGGTAAATAAGAAGAAAATGAAGTTTCCATGGGAACCAGCACTTTGACAAGCCAATGACTAAATGTAGCAGAACCGAGCCACATATTACTATGAGGTGAATCTTGAGGATGGAAAATTGTAAAAGAAATAGTTACTTTCATTTTTTTCTCCAGTCCAGCTTTTTCCCAACTTGACAGACAAAAATAATTGTAGTTTTACCAATTTTTCCTGGATTTCTATCAACTTTTCACACAAAACAGCTTAGAAAATAGGGCAGGGAATAAACCAAAACATGGGTTGTAAAAAGTTACACCCTAACTATAAGAGGTCTGTAACTGGAGGGTTGATATGTGATGTTGAAAATAAATACATTTTTTGATTTTCTTTTCTTCTGTGATAATCTGACATTTGTGGTGTCAGGTTCATGCTTTTCCTCTCTTCATAAGCTTTAACTTGATGTATAATTTAGTTGTGTAGTGTTATTAGTTTTCATTAATATGCACATACTAATGAAATAATTGTTGAACTATTGAACTACTAATGAACTATTTGTTGTTTCTTTCAAGTTCATCAAACTCTTAAGAGTCCAAAAACTAGTAATGCATACATCAATGGTCTTTAAGCACCTTAAATATAGTGAAAACAAAGAAGATTATATAATAATATGGTAACTGTACTACATCCAACATATCCAGTGCTGACAAGGATACTACTGATATAGTAGTGGTGTAGGTGCTACTTATATCATGAATTAGATTAATTACTACTGATATAGTAGTGGTGTAGGTGCTACTTATATCATGAATTAGATTAATTACTACTGATATAGTAGTGGTGTAGGTGCTACTTATATCATGAATTAGATTAATTACTACTGATATAGTAGTGGTGTAGGTGCTACTTATATCATGAATTAGATTAATTACTACTGATATTGTAGTGGTGTAGGTGCTACTTATATCATGAACTAGATTAAGTGAATTGTAATTAATTATCACTTATTTTCTAACACAAATTATTCTGTTTTGAATTAACTTTACTATCATTTAGAAGAACTGGCAAATCAACAACCTTCCATTATATTTAAAGATAGCTTTTAGTACTCACCAGGGGGCAAGGACTGCTTTAGTTTCTCAGCCTTTTCAGGATCATTGACCACCAGGGTGTATAAGTAACGGCTACATCTCACTTTGAACTTAACGTTCTCTCTGTTCTTCTTAATTTTCACAGCTAGATAACAACATAAAACATTCTCTGTATCATATGAGCTAATATAACTACAACCAGGTTCTTCTGTACCATATGAGCTAATATAACTATACCAGGTTCTTCTGTACCACGTGAACTAACATAACTATACCAGTTTCTTCTGTACCATGTGAGCTAACATAACTATACCAGGTTCCCCTGTACCATGTGAACTAACATAACTATACCAGGTTCTTCTGTACCATCTGATCTAATAACTATACCAGGTTCTTCTGTACCATATGAGCTAACATAACTATACCAGGTTCTTCTGTACCATGAACTAACATAACTATACCAGGTTCTTCTGTACCATGTGAACTAACATAACTATACCAGGTTCTTCTGTACCATGTGAACTAACATAACTATACCAGGTTCTTTGTAGTTATTCTAGAATGAAAAAAGCATAATTTATATTTTATTTCCTAATTTTTTAATGAGGTTAAGAAGTCGGTCAAATCAAACCAACCCATACAGAGATACAGTAGTGAAAATAACAGATAAAATATTTTTTCTAAAAAAAAATTATAATTATCTGGAGGGTATAGAGATTTCGCACGTGAAATTTGAAAATGTTCTAAAGCATAAAAGTGTTTTTAATCTTAAAATCAAAATTACTTTGCATGTTGGATAGTCAACATTCTGAAAGAAAAAAAATGTACAGAAAATCTGATATTTTGTGTACAAAAACCTTGAAATGTTTACCAATTACCTGCCAAATTTTGTAAAGGTATGCAAAAATCAGAGTATAATTATTCTCATCGATACTTTCGTGTTTACGAGCTGGGTGGAATCCACCCAGCCCGTAATGAAAAGGTAAAACCTTCTATTTAGCTATTTTACAACTTAATGTACAGTTCCCTATATACTAATCTCAGGTATATTTGAATAAAAACACATTTCAGAGATCAGAATGTATGCAGTTTACAACTAAAGGTAAAATGAGCTCTTGACATACCACTTGGTTGTAAATGTGATGAAGGTTATTTACCATTGTAAGGCTTTAAACATTTTTGGATCTTGCAAATGTTTGCAAACAACTATCAGTGTCACCTGCACAATCAAAAGAAAAGGAAAAAGCAATACGAAAAAAAAAGCACAAAAGTATAAAAACTTTTTTTTTTGAACTTTGGGAATCCCTCGAAATATACACAACAACCTACTAGTAAAGGCTTATCAATCAATTATAGTGTTTACAGCAAGCTTTGCTTTCCAACAAATCTCACCATTATTTATAATTCTAACTGTCCCTAATTTTGAAGTGATAGATGGTAATGTTGATCCGATCCTCGACCAAAATAATCGGTAAATTCCCTAACTACAAACTCAAAAATATCTCCTGGTCCATTTTTTTTGTTTAAAAAAGCTTGTACTTTGTACAAAATAAATGTTGATACAATCCACCAAAAGAAGCTGAAAACATTAGGAAAAGTTCACTTTTGTTATTAGCTAGTAATGTTGTTTTAGTCACTAAACCTTCT